GTCTCATCTGTGTCCTCAGAGAGGCTTTTATTCTGAAGTCTGCACATGGTTTCATCTTTTATTCTGAAGTCTGGAGGTTTTCCGGAACTGAAATATGGAATGTTTTTATTTGTGATCTTTCAAAATGAAATCTGTCAAATTCAAGCAGCTACATTTACAGAAAGAAGCATTGACAAATAGAGAAGGTAATAATAATTGAATGATCAATATTTATTATTATTATTGTTATAAAGTGTACTACTATTAGTAGTAGTAGTAGTAGTAGTAGTAGTGTAGTAGTAAAGTATTAGTATTGTACTAGTAGTAGTAGTAGTAGTAGTAGTAGTAGTAGAAGGCAATAATTCAATGATCAATATTCATTATATATCATAAACAGTGTACTAGTAGTGTACTAGTATAAGTAGTAGTAGTAGTGTAGTAGTAGTACTAGTGTACTACTAGTAGTAGTATTATTAGTAGTGTAGCCTACTAGTAGTAATTTGTAATATTACATCATCACTTATTAATAAAAGTAACTGAAGCTGTCAGATAAAAAAGTACAGCATTACCTCTGAGACGTAAAGAAGTACACAGTAAAGTACCTCAGAATGTCCTTCATGTCTCCTTCTGGACCGGAAGTGATGTCATCACGTAGGAGCAGCAGGTCTAAAGCTCAGCAGCAGCAGGAAGTGAAGGATGATGGGACATCAGCAGTTCATCAGTCCGTCCTGGTCCACGGTCTGAGAGCGGACCGCTACATAGATATCTATCACTCTGTCCTCAAGCCGTCTGTCCTCACTGCTCTGTCCTCTGCCAAACAGGCTGTAAGACACTTCGTAGTAATACTAGCTCTCTTTACTTCAGTACACCATCTATAAGTACTGCAGGACATTACAAGTACATCATTTCAAGTCTTTCTAAAAGGGTCTCAATACAGAATTTAGAGCAAATCTATGATTGAGGGAGTGCCTCCATTTGGCTAGAAGCTAACAGTGCTAACAACAGCTAACAGTGCTATTAACAGATAACAGTGCTAACAACAGCTAACAGTGCTATTAACAGCTAACAGTGCTAACAACAGCTAACAGTGCTATTAGCATCTAGCAGTGCTAACAACAGCTAACAGTGCTAAGAACAGCTAACAACATATATATTTCCTAAGTAAGATACTAGTAGTTAATTTACAGCATTGACTTTGTGGACTCAGCCAATTATTGTTATTATCAATATAATAATTATATTAATCATTCTTATCATTAGTATTATTATCAATATTATTCGTATTCTTATTATTATCATTGGTATTGTTATCATTATTATTATTATTATTATTGATAATAAACCACAGTTTAAAGCTGACTGGTCTGGTTTTAAAGGACTACGTGGCTCAGGTCCTGGAGCTGAAGCAGCGTCTGTGGACGGAGCTCAGTCGACCTCGTCTTCAGGAGACGGAGAAGGAGGACCGACGGGTGGAGGTCAACGAGATATTTGACCTGACTTAAGAGGAAATAAATGGAAGGTCAGAGGTGGTGTTGTTGTTGTTATTGACTGAAACCCGACCCTCTCTTTGAGTCTTGCAGCTCTCTGATTTGCATGTGTGGTTTTGAGTAAAACCACTTCTAGGTTTCTGTAAGTAAAGTCGAGAGGAAACAAGGAGACGACCTCATCACACACTTTATTTTATTGATTCTATTGAAGCACAACGTAACAATAAACCGGTTCTACACATTCAAACATATTTCTATGACAAGCACACATGAGGGTCTACTCGGCCTGGGTGGTGGACTTGGTCTGCTGGTCTTTGGTGCAGCAGGTGAGCCGTCTGAAGCGGGTCAGGTAGAACATGGAGCCGATGAAGAGGCCCAGGTTTGGGAAGAGCAGCAGGACCCCGAAGACCCGATCAGGGACACGTAGGGGACCAGAGCCACCAGAGGAGAGTAGGCCACCACCGCCGGCACCATCACGGCCACCACATTCTTCAGAGCTCGTCTCTTCAGCGCAGAACCTCGGCCCGGTCCGCTCTGCCTCAGCACCCACACGAGGCCCAGCAGACACAGCAGCGAGATGGTGACAGACAGGGACAGAGCCACAACGAACATCTGGAGGAAGTAGCTCATCAGGGCCACGGTGATGGTGAGCAGCCAGGCCGCGGTGCACAAGACGGCCCGGTTCTCCCACGTCCCATCCGGAGGTAGGAGCCGGGCCGTGCCGCCGCCAGGTAGCGCTCCACACACATGCAGGTCAGCAGCAGAGGGCAGCTGAAGATGTTGAGGGCAAATAGGGCCTCTCTGACGGACTGGGTCCTCCGGCTGGTCTCCACTAGGCTGCTGTAGATGTCCAGAGGCAGACAGAGACAGTACAGAACATCCATCACGGAGCCCTTCAGTCCCAGAACCTCGGACGCCATTATGGCGCTCCTCCTCCTCAGCAGCAGCCACATCAGACCCACGTTAGCCGGGAACGCCATCACCAGGAAGAAGACCTTCACCACCAACCAGCTCACGGCACTGGCCTCCACCTGCCACTGGTTCACTATCTCTGTGTAGCCGTCCATGTAGGTCATCAGGGACCAGTGGGACTAGAACCCTGAGTGTCCGCCAGCCAGAGACTCGTTGCCTCTGCTGACGGAGGACGAAGGAGACGAAGCGGTGCTACTTTTTCCCATCGACACCGAAGACGGGTTCAATACCTTCAGAAGGTTTCTTCAGCTTAAAGGATCTCAAAGAATGAAGATGATGGAGGAGTTCTGGGTAAGGAGCGTCTCTACTGCTCCTCTTCATCCTTTATAAGGACACAGGGACACAGAGACACTCCCACAGGACGTTTGCATGTGGAGTCGGTGGTCCATGTTTTTGTTTCCATCATGCAAAATATGTGGTGAAGAAACTCAGCAGACCCTGAGTTTCTACCTCTGAACGTGACGTATCAGTAAGGAGACCAGGACCAGGATCAGGACCAGTCAACTTTTGGTTTCACAAGATACCCAATCAGTGATCTGCTGGGTTTGTCTGAACCACCTTAAACTACTGACTCAGCAGCCTTTTCCCTGATGACACGGATGTGTTAACATGAGATGAAGAGCAGCAATCACCACAGACACAGTTTCAGGGTTAAACACACATTCATGTCATTTTATTCTGGTTCCACAGAAACTGACTTTCAGATAATTCTTTAAAAATATGGACACAAACTGAAGCAACATTATGAACATCTGCTGAAGTTTCTCCTTCTGGTTCTTAAAGAGTAACCAAACCACCAAATCAGTGTTTCACATGTGTTTGTGTGTTTGTGTGTATGTGTGTATTTAGTGTTGATGATGGACTCAGGTTTAATGTTGACATTTTAGTGTAAAGTCTTTGACTTCTACACATTGTGTTGTAAATATATAGTGAATGACGTCTACTGTTTGAAACACACCTATTGCACTTTCGCCCGAGTTGAATATGTCATTCGAGTCTCATCGCGCCTGTGCATAGACTTTGTATGTAATCTACTTGCGTGAATCAGTATTGTTGTCAGTATCAGTATTAGTATCGTTGTCAGTGTCAGTATCAGTATCGTTATCAGTTTCAGTATTAGTATCGTTATCAGTGTCAGTAACAGTATCGTTATCAGTTTCAGTATTAGTATCGTTATCAGTGTCAGTATCAGTATCGTTATCAGTTTCAGTATCAGTATCGTTATCAGTTTCAGTATTAGTGTCGTTATCAGTGTCAGTATCAGTATCGTTATCAGTGTCAGTATTAGTATCGATATCAGTGTCAGTATTAGTATCGTTATCAGTGTCAGTATTAGTATCGTTATCAGTGTCAGTAT